ATATATATATATATACGTATAAATAAAATAATAAAAGTCGTTTTTAAATAATCATTGCTATGCTTTTGCAACGCAATTGATTACTTTAAATTTAAAATTAAATAAATGGATGCATTTTCTACATTGCAGTTTGTACAGGTCAGCATCGGCGCTCGACGAGGTCGTTCTTCGTCGGCAAGCACCTGTCTACGATGTTCCTAGACGTTCCTGGTTGTCCAGCCTTACAATGGATTCCTCGCCACCCGTTTATAGTAATAATCTATATGAGGAGATCGTGCCTTGCGAACCTCGTTTTGCCACCGTGAGCCCGAAGAACTTTAGATTTTTCATATCTCAGGAAAAATCACAAGCGATCAAAAAGAGCTTTGACAGTTAAAAGAATATCGGAGGCATTTTCTCCCGAAAAAATTATCGACAAGATCGCATGATTAACTAACCCGTACTTAATTTAAAGATAATTTATTTTCTTTGAATCTCTCTTATTAAATAAATTCTTTCTCACTTTTCTCAATTTAACACTTTAATTGAAATTAAAGCACACCTTATCGCAAAGCTTTGGCAAAACGTGATTTTAACATTCTTGGCTATCTGGGAAATGTATTTAAAAAAAAAGTTATACGGAAAAAATGTCTTTGCTATCAGTTATTCGTCAAATTATAATCAAATTTTCCATAATCAAATAATGTTTATTGAATGGTAGTTTTTATTAAACGTTATTCGTAATCAAATGTTTATTGAAAATTAATTTATAAATATTTACGATAGCTCATGATTAAAAATATTTCTCTATTTACGTTTATGAAGATCAATTTCACGGTAATGTCAGATTGACGAGAATGATTTCGATTTATACATAGTTTACAGCATTGTTCACGTTGTGTGAAATAGTCGAAAGATTATTAATACACGGATTTATAGCGTTAATTTAGGAACATGTTGATATTAATTGATATCGCAAATTCCCGAGCACTGTTCTGCAATTGTTCTTGTCTTATGGTACGTTCGGAAACAGCACCCGAGCATCGTTCTATCTTTGTTCAACTTTTAATAAATAACAAAGATAAAACGACATTCGTATGCACACGGGTGATGTTTCCGAACGCAGCCTTACAATTAGTAAGATTCTAATCAAACATTTCGATTAACGATCGAATTTGCTTAATGATCTAATACGACTTCTATGATAATATTCAGCGAAGTTGAATCCTGGATCTTTAAGAAACTTGTGTTTTCGACAATCATTCTATTTTATAGCTCGGATGACTAGGCTATTTTTGCGCGACTAAAACGTAATTAAGAGAATGTATCAATTATAAAAATGGGTTTTGGAATATTAAAAATTTTACTCGCATGCGTCGTTTTGTTTGTTTCTTTTAAAAATATCATGCGAACACGAGAGATTTTCATCAAATGTGATAATGTTAATTGCAATTTTATTTCTGCAAATCTTCTACCGGAAAAAATATAATAACGCTTCACTCGTTCGTTGTAAATACCGCGAGACAATTTCGCATGCAAAATTGCATTTTCAATTTTTTTTTGATCTTTTTTTATTTGTTTATAACATTTTATTTGATATAATCTTTCCGTCTCGCATTATACGCAAGAGAAAAAAGAACTTTGCCATTTGCAAACAATTTTCCATTTACTCTTATCTATCTTTGTTTATATGAAATTCTTGTAATCCGCGACAGGTTTATGATATCGTAAAGATCTTGATCATTTCTCGCGAAATGACAAAGATTCGTCCAAAAAGCTTGATAACATTGTGCAAACGTAGGACGATGTCATGTAACGCCACTCATATGGACGAAAATGCGCTTATCGAGTCTTTCGTATTTATTGCGGAAATATCGAAAAAGATCTCGAGTAGCATCGAACGGAGTGTCATCTGTATCACAGTATATACAGTAGCGCAACTCCCTGTCGGCACCTTTAATGTTAGGCCGGTATTCATAGTCCGTTCTTATATTGAAGATCGTCTTAAGATACGATTTTAAGATGTTATGCGGCCATTTCATTGGTTGAATGAAATATCTCGAATCAGAGAACTCGCGGTTGAAGCGGGAGGTGCAAACTACTCGGGAAATGTCCAACATCGAGGCCGTACTCTCTAACGAACGAAAGCTGCTCGACGAAAAAGAAAGTTACAAATAAATCACATTTGGTTAACAGAAAATATTCATATTTCTATTCATTGCACAAGAAAAGAGATAAAGTTAAACATAGTTATAAAAACGATGATTCCAATACTAAAAAAAATGTATAAATTATTAGATGCGTGTTATAAAAAGAAGACTGTAAATGTGAAAGAAAGCACACAAGCATAAAACAGAAGAGTTATAAATGTAGAATATTCATAAGTTTCCTATTTTTTCTTGAAATTCCTTTATACGTTTTATTATGCTGCGATAATGTGTAATAAATACGCATACGTAAAAACAGTTTTATTAGAAAAA